CTGGTAGGACTCCAAATATTTGCATTAAACAGATCTTTGATTAAACTACTGTTTTATCATGAGTCTGTAAATGGTAACATCCTCAAATCTAACTGAATTCCAATAAGAATATAACATTTTTATATTTTTATTTTTGTGATTGGAGTCTACTGTTGTCTATGTGAAATTATGCTATGCAAATGTATATTTTTTTAATTTAATAAGCCCTTTTTGAAAGGAAGTCTTGACATAGGCTTGTGTTTGCATTTGCAAATCAGAACTGCTTCTCTCTCTTGTCCAGGTGATGTGGTCCTACATATGGAAGGTGGGCTTCACCTATGGGAAGGAAGCAGGAGACACATTCATTGAGCACCGTGGCAGGTACCTTCATTTAACTTATTCCAAAATCCAAGGTCAATGTGGGCCTTTGAACATAATCACAAAATGAGGAACTAGTTCCTCCCACTTGTCCATGATCTACTACCCACCTACAGGAACTACACACCAAATATTCCTGGATCTTTAGATCCTGATATCTCAGAGAAGTTAGACCACACCCTCCTTGTTCAAATGGGAAAACTGGGTTTGGAAAGGTGAGAAAAGTGATGACTCAAGACCAATACTCAGGCCACCTGGCCCCTGGCCTCCAGTATAAATTCAGGGCCTCCCTGAGAACGAGAAGCTGCCTGAAGTTAACCCACACTTGCGGTTCACTGTTACTTGCAGCTGAGAGCACCCTAAACTGTTATGCTTCTCTTACCCCAGGTCTCTTCCCTCCACACACCTCTTTCTGTGTTTTGGCCTTCTTCCAACCATTTTTATAATCAGACAGCATTAAATGTAGGGGGGGGTGTGTGAATTCTGAGTGAGGACAAATCCCCCAGCAAAGAGACTTCCATTAAAACAAATTCATACTTGTTGCCTTATCTCTATTCCAGAGGCAGAGATGCCCAGCAGAATGGTCTTCCTGAATGGATTTGCCTAGTTATAATAAATCTGGGGATCTCTAGGAGTGGGAGAGCTCACTCCTCTGCCTGCAAACCAGTCGCCTGGTCTTCTGCCCCAAGAACCACATCATCGATTCCATTGCTCACTCATGAATAAGCTTTGTGCTGAATGATTTTGGCCCCATGGCCCTGATCCCTTAAATGAATGCCCAGGATATGACATCCCCCAAACACATTACTCTTCTTCTAGTTCTGGATGGAAAATATTATATAATGCTTAAGGCTGGACTTGTTCCTAAGCCCTTGAAATCTTCAGGCTCTTTGATACCAGGGACAAAACTGTATTTCTTCTATATTTCCCCAAATTATGACTTGTAAGGAAGATATATAATAATTAAAAGTCCTTATTAATTGAATTCTGCCAACAGACTAGCAACTCCCCAGACTGATAACAAAGCCAGGCAAAGCAGTTGTCAGTTTGAGGATGGCATCTGTGGAGGCAAGCTCCTGCTCTCCCTGGCTTCTTCTTGATCCAGGCAGAGAACATAAAAATTTCTTGCATCAGATACCTGATTGAGCCCCAGATCAAGGCAAAATGCCAATGCTTACATGAGCTCTGTACTTCCCATCTCCTACCTTGGGCTATAATTAGCAGACTGGGAAATCAGGAGGTATGAGAGCATGTCTTCAAAATTGAATGGAAATCAATGGGGAAATGACTTGCTTTACCGAAATCTGTTCCACATGCAAAGTTCCAGGAATATTTTAAAAGAAGGTCTATTACAGGTTAAATGCAACATCTAAATAACCTTCAGATTATCTAGCCAATGACATTTCTAGATGATCTTTAAAATGCCTCCCATCATATCTCTTTCTAAAAGATGTAGGAGAAGTAGGAATATTAATAAATTAGTTCATACTTATGAATATTTCTCACAGTCTTTCCAATGCTCTTCAGTCCCTTAATAATCTACATGTAATTTTAAAACTTTTTATTATGGAAATTTCAAACAAATATGTAAGTTAAGAGAACAGTATAATGAACCTTCATGTACCCTTAACCCAACTTAAATAAGTATCAATTCACAGTCAGTCTCATTTTCTCTGTACTCCAATCCATTTTCCCCATGTTCTCCAGATTATCTTGAAACAAATCTCAAGTATATCATTTATTTTAAATATTTCAGAAAGCTATAACCATTGTTCAGTCCAGTTCTCAAAAAGGCTTTTTCTGGATCACTCCTGATTTTTAGTAGTCAGTAGTTGTTTAAAACTTTGATACAGTTTCTACAAAAATAAACATATTTACTTACAAAATTTTTTACACTGATTTAGTTAGTTCATCCATTTGTCCATCCATTTGTTCATTCATCACACGTCAGAAACATTTATTGGGAATTCCCTTGCGGTCCAGTGGTTAGGCTCCATGGTTCCACTGCAGGGGGCATGGGTTCAATCCCAGGTCAGGGAACTAAGATCCTGCATGCCACAGAGCCAGAAAAAAAAAGAAAAAAAGAAAAAGGTTATTAAGTACTTAGTATGTACTGGACCTACTTGGAATTCTGGGAATACAGCTATGAACAAAGTAGACAAGAACCCCTGATATTATATTTTGGTAGGGAGAGGAAAATAGTAAACAAATTAGAAAATTCATAAACAAGTTTATTTCAAATGTCAAGAAAGAAAGGAACAAGGTAATGTGATAGTAACTCGGCCTGGTGGAAGGAGGGGAGGTGTGACATTTCAGCTGATACCTGAAGAATATAAAAGAACAGCAATTTGAAGACTGGGTATAGAGTGAACCAGGCAGAGAAAATCAAAAAGACTGAGGCAAGGAAGAGATTTCTGTGTCAGGGAACAGCAAGGAACACAGTGTAAATTCAGCATAATAAACAAGGGAGAAACTGGTCAGACATACAGCTGGAGAGTGTGGTAGACAGTGACCCCCAACAAATCATCCCTTCCAATATTCATGTCCTTGGTATCCTGCATGCCACACAGCCAGAAAACAAAAAGAAAAAGTTTATTAAGTACTTAGTATGTACTGGAGCTACTTGGAATTCTGGGAATACAGCTATGAACAAAGTAGACAAGAACCCCTGATATTATATTTTGGTAGGGAGAGGAAAATAGTAAACAAATTAGAAAACCCATAAGCAAGTTTACTTGATCGTGTGCTTTGCTTTGGCCAGTGGGACATTAGCAAGCATGGTAGAAGGAGACTGGATTAGCACTTGCACACTAGAGCTTGTCCTCTTGGAACGCTGTCTCTGGAAGCTAGCCACCATGCTGAAAAGCGACTTGAGCTAGACTAGTGAGTGATGAGGGGCCACATGGAGACACCCTCTGGAGGATGAGAGTTCACCTTGGACAGTGCAGCGCCACCGAGCTCCTAAAAGAACGTGGTCACGTTACTGCAGTCAACCCACAAAATCATGAGAAACAATAAATCACTGTTTTCAGTCATTATTTTGGGGGGTGGTTAATTACATGGCAATAGAAAACTGAAACAGAAAGTAGCACCTGGAAGTGGGGTGCTGCTGTAACAGAAACCTAAAGCAGGTGATTTTGAGATTGAGCCATGGAGGAAGGCTGGAAGGGTGGCAAAGGCAGTGAGCAAATGGAACGCTGGAAAGATGGTCATCTGTGTTGTAAAGCTGGGGAACAACTGGTAAAGCTGATGACTGCGGTAACATGTAAGATAGAAAATGTACTTAATGAACTTGTGGATCTGTCCAAAGGAAACTTCCAAGTAGAATGCCAAAGGGGCTAATCTGCTTCTTTTAGCTGCCTGTCATAAAATATGGGAAGGAAGGATGAACGAGAATTTCAGTTTTCAAGCAGAAAAAATAATAAATGGCCTCAGCATGCTGCCAGCAAAACGTGATCTTAGTCAAGATCAAGTTGAGGGTGTGGCTGTAAGACCTATTTTAAGACCTCAGAGCCCAAAATGCAGAGGGCCCGTTCGCAAGAGATGTGTGGATCGGTGTGTGACTCTTGTCTAATGGAGTAGATTATAATTTACCATACAGAACATCCACAGCATTTTAAAAGGAACTGTACACACTTAAAGGAACAAAGACAGTTGAAAATGAAAAGAGGCCTCTGGGCTCCCACCTTTCCATGAGCAAGAAGCAGACTGAGAAATCAGCCTCAGAGATGAACCATTTCTCATGGAAAATGAAAAAGGTCTCAGAGGACAGAGCCAACAGCTAAGAACAATGGATTGAGGAAAAAGTGAACATATTAGAAAATTCATAAACAAGATCATTTCAAATGGCAAGAAAAAAAAAAAGAACAAGGTGATGTGATGGTAATTTGGTGGGGTGTGGTGGAGGAGGGAGCAGAAGCAGGCCCCAATCAAGCAATAGTCCCTCCCTCCAGACCTAGGGAAACTGGCAACATGTGTACAGCTGGCTTTTAGAACTGCTAAGGACCCGTGCCTGCTACGTGCCTTTAATGTCCTCCCCCTGAGAACGGGAGCATCTGCTGCTATCTTATCCCTCTCTCAAAACTGCATGTGGGGTTGGGGGAGGGGGGTTGGTGATGGTGGCAGATAACTTGAATTTTTAGTTCACAGGTTTCCAGACTGAGAAAAGCCACACCCAAGCAACCTCATCCACATCCAGACCTGATCCAAATGATGAAATTCTGGGCACCGAGCAGCTGCCATACTGGGTGAGACTTTGGGAGGTACTGGAAGAGATGAATGTGTTTTGCATAAGGGAGAAATGCCAGTAATTTATGGCCAGAGGATGGATTGTGATAGGTGATAAAGATGGCCACAAAGGGCTTCCCTGGTGGTGCAGTGGTTAAGAATCTGCCTGCCAACGCAGGGGACACGGGTTCGAGCCCTGGTCCGGGAAGATCCCATATGCTGCAGAGCAACTAAGCCCGTGAGCCACAACTACTGAGCCTGCGCTCTAGAGCCCGCAAGCCACAACTACTGAGCCAACGCGCCACAACTACTGAAGCCCGCGCACCTAGAGCCTGTACTCCGCAACAAGAGAAGCCACCACAATGAGAAGCCCATGCACCGCAATGAAGAGTAGACCCCGCTCGACCCGTCTAAAGAAAGCCCGTGCACAGCAGCGAAGACCCAATGCAGCCAAAAATAAATTAAATAAAATAAATAAAAAAATAAAAAGTAAAAAGATGGCCACAAAATCTTTTGTGTCCTTGCATAGAGACCAGAAGTCTATTTCTCCTCCCCTTGAGTCTGGGCTGGCTTCGTGACCTGTTTTGACAAATAGAAGCAGCAGAAGTGATACTGTGCCAGGTCTTAAAAGACTGTGCAGCTTCCACGTTTGCCCTCTTGGAGCCCCAAGCCACATGGAAAGAGGTTCAGCCACCCAGATGGAGAGCTGAAAGGTGCCTGGCTAAAAGAAAACTGTTTCTCTGCTCGTAGCACTTCTGACTCCAAGTGTGTAGATTTTCCACACCAAGCAATTCTCCAATTCTCTGTGCACACGAAGTGGTGTCCCACAATTTAATTCAATTCTGACATTATTAATCTAGAATTAGCACACAGGTTAAGGGATCAGTCCCACTATGCAAATAGTGGGTCCCCAGGTTACCCACACTTCTGTCCAACTTCTGTCCAACTTCTGTCCAACTTCTGGCTACGAATCAGGAGTTCCCACGACCCTCCGCTCAGGTTTGATAATTTGCTATAATGGCTCAGAACTCAGGGAAACACTCTGCTTACTATTATTGGCTCATTATAAAGGATACTGTAAAGGGTACAGAGGAACAGCCAAAGGAAGAGGTACATGGGGTGGGGTCTGGAAGAATCCTGAGCACAGGAGCTTCTGTCCCGTGAATTTGGGGTATGCATCCTCCCGGCACATAGACATGTTCACCAAACTAGAAGCTCTCTGAACAATCTATAGTTTAGTCATTTTAGGAAGGTCCCATTTTGTAGGTATGATTGATTAAATCACTGGCCATTGATCATTAACTCAGTCTCCAGCTTCTCTCCTCTCCATGGAGGCTGGGAGTGGGACTGAAAGTTCTAATCCTCTAGTCACTTGGTTGGTTCCTCTGGTGACCAGCCTGTATCCTGGGGCTTTTGGCCACCATTCATCTTATTAACATAAACTCAAGCATGGTTGAAAGGAGTTTATTATGATTAACAAAGACCCTTCTCTCACCACATCACTCAGGAAATCACAAAAATTTTAAGAGCTCTGTGACAGGAACTGGGACGAAGACCAAATATAGATGTCTTATTTTATCACAGTGTCACATTGGCCAAGCCCTTGATGTTCCAGCTGTCACAGTGAGACACCAGACTTGTGGGAAAACCTGTCTTGAATTCCCAGCCGCAGGCAAAGAGCTGTCCTGCTAAGTCCAGCGAACCCAAATTGCACAACTGTGAGTAAATGCACAGGGGTTGTTTTAAACCACTAAGTTTTGGGATAGCTAGTTACAAAGCAATAGATGAATGCAACAGAAATATAGTGATGGACTAATGATAGCTCAAGTTCTTTGGGGTTCACCCTTCAAAAGGTGGACGTTTTGCCTGGGCTCACTCATAGGGCTGCCTTCAGCTGGAGGGTTAGCTGGGCTGGAAGGTCCAAGACAGCCTCACTCACAGGGCTGGCCATTGGTTCTTCTCCATATGTCCTCTCATCTTAAGTAGGCTAGACCAGTTTCCTTACATGGTGGTCTTAGGGCAGCGTTCCCAGAAGGAAAAACCAGGAGCTGCAAGGCTCCCTGAAGGTGAGTCTCTACGGACTTATACAGTGTCACTTCCACCACCTTCAAAGCAAGTCAAACAGTCAGCCCGGATTCATTCAAGAGATGGGAGAGAACCAAGTAGTTTCTTTTCTCATCTTATTGATGAGAAGAGCTGCAAAGTATTGTGGCCAAGTTTTTCAATTTACCATCATGTTACAAAAATTTTAGTGAAATGCCAGATATTTGTGCTTAGGAACAGAACTAGAATGACTGTACACAAAATAACATATATGACATTTTAAAATTAATCTAAGAAAGCATTATATCATCATTTTTACTTTAGCCCTATTGTCAAAACCACCTTAACTTTCTTTTTTTCTTTATTTTTTAGAAAGCCAATTTTAAAAGATACCAAATACTAAAATAGGGTCTCCGAACTGTTTTATGAATTACCAAACATTTCCTCAGGTCTTGAGATCATCCTGCATGGACCCCATCGCTGGTGAGCGCTTTTCTGCCCCTGAAATCCTTTTAAGCCTGGGGAAAAGAGAGTAAGGAGAAAGTGGAATGTGAAAGCAGCAATCAGCTGGAAATTCTGTCAGGTAAGACCTTTAGATCATTGGGTAGGTCCCTATCTATCAGAAATCGTGCTCTAAAAACTTCTGTAAAAACCTACATTTCAAAATGTTAAGCTTAACTTTTCTGGACTTGTCCTTGAGTGATTAATAGTTAGAAACGTACTGAGAACCAGCTCTTATAGAGCATCCTTTCGTTCACAAATTCCACAAATATGGGTTTGCTAAACTAGAAGAATTAGAGAATATCTGCATTTAGTCCAAGATATTTATGTCATGGGTCATAAAACAATGGTGGCACTTATCTAAGCCTGATAAAGGAAACTTACCCATTTACAGGAATCTTTATGATTGTTTGTAGCATCTTTTATAATCTAGAGAAATATCTTGCACACAGTGTTTTGATCAAAAATGCTGTGAGAGGGCTTCCCTGGTGGCGCAGTGGTTAAGAATCTGCCTGCCAGCTCAATGTCAAAAACACAAACAACCCAATCCAAAAATGGGCAGAAGACCTAAATAGACATTCCTCCAAAGAAGATATACAGACTGCCAACAAACACAAGAAAGGATGCTTAACATCACTAATCATTAGAGAAATGCAAATCAAAACTACAATGAGGTATCACCTCACACCAGTCAGAATGGCCATCATCAAAAAATCTACAAACAATAAATGCTGGAGAGGATGTGGAGAAAAGGGAACCCTCTTGCACTGTTGGTGGGAATGTAAATTGATACAGCCATTATGGAGAGCAGTATGGAGTTTCCTTAAAAAACTACAAATAGAACTACCGTATGACCCAGCAATCCCACTACTGGGCATATACTCTGAGAAAACCATAATTCAAAAAGTCATATACCACAATATTCATTGCAGCACTATTTGCAATAGCCAGGACGTGGAAGCAACCTAAGTGTCCATCAACAGATGAATGGATAAAGAAGATGTGGCACATATATACAATGGAATATTACTCAGCCATAAAAAGAAACGAAATTGAGTTATTTGTAGTGAGTTGGATGGACCTAGAGTCTGTCATACAGAGTGAAGTAAGTCAGAAAAACAAATACCGTATGCTAACACATATATATGGAATTTTAAAAAAATGGTTCTGAAGAACCTAGGGGTAGGACAGGAATAAAGACGCATAAGTAGAGAATGGACTTGAGGACACGGGGAGGGGGAAGGGTAAGCTGGGACAAAGTGAGAGAGTGGTATGGACATATGTACACTACCAAGTGTAAAATAGATAGTTAGTGGGAAGCAGCTGCATAGCACAGGGAGATCAGCTCGGTGCTCTGTGACCACCTAGAGGGGTGGGATAAGGAGGGTGGGAGGGAGACGCAAGAGGGAGGAGATATGGGGATATATGTATATGTATAGCTGATTCACTTTGTTATAAAGCAGAAACTAACACACCAGTGTAAAGCAATTACACTCCAATAAAGATGTTAAAAAAAAAAAAAAAGAATCCACCTGCCAATGCAGGGGACACAGGTTCGAGCCCTGGTTCGGGATGATCCCACATGCTGCGGGGCAACTAAGCCGGTGCGCCACAACTACTGAGCCTGTGCTCTACAGCCTGCGAGCCACAGCTACTGAGCCTGAGTGGCACAACTACTGAAGCCCGCCTAGATAGAGCCTGTGCTCCGTAACAAGAGAAGCCACTGCAGTGAGAAGCCCGTGCACCGCAACGAAGAGTTGCCCCCGCTCACTGCAACTAGAGAAAACCACGCACAGCAGCAAAGAACCAAAGCAGCCAAAATAAATAAATAAAATATATAAATTTATTTTTAAAAAATGCTATAAGAGAGCTCAGTGTCTGCCTAAGAAGTAACACAGTGCATTCCTCAATAGAGATTAAAGTTGAAGCAATCTGTAGTATCGATGAGGCAATCTTTTTTTGTTGTTGGAGAGGAGGTTATGATAACTGTTTTAGATAAAGCAAAAGTTGCATGCAATTTTTCAGTTCTACCACTAGATGTATCCATCTTCTTACCAACTTACTCATCTTCTTATCAACACAAGACAGAAATCTCCAGTGCATAATTTGTGCAAAGCTTAATGTTAGGCACTCCAGATTATCAAAAATAAGATGCAGTTGATGTTCTTAAACATCATAGTAGTCTGGTGGGGACAAGACAAGAACTCAAGAATCTGTATTTCAAAGCAGAATATAAATGTCAAAATACAAATGAGAAGTTCTATGGAAACTCAAAAGAGAGAATAACTCCAAAACATTAGCAGAAGATTTTTGGATGAGGTAGCATTTGAATTTTGAAGTTCAAGTAGCATTTCAACTGACTGAGGTGGAGAGTGTTGGATAAACAAACACAGAGGTGGGAAAGCATGATAATGTGTTCTTGGAACACCAAGAGCTAAGACTTGAGATGTAGTGTAGGGCTATATTGTTTTAAATGCCGAGTTGAAGAGATTATAATTAATTCAATCAGTGATGGAGGTGCCCCCCAGCCCCACCCTCACCCCCGGTTCTTTGAGACACCAGTCTATAAACCAGGCTCTGTTCTTCCACATTCCTTCCTTTGGGCGGAGTCAGGACTCCCTTTCCCCCACACCTACAGCCCTCCTACCTACTAGAATATCTGACAAATGTGTTGGGGGTAGTGAAAGTGAGAGATAAAAAATAAACCCAAATTCATTTTTCCCAGTTTTTCTTTTTATTAAGGGTACTCATGTTATTATTATTTTGACTATTTTCGAAAATTTGGCTTACCACTAAAGAATGTATATTTCATATGATGAGAATATTCAAAAGAATAGACCACATTATGGAGGTAACTAAAATATCCACAAATGTTACTGAGTTGAGGAAGATTATTTGAACACACAGTGTATATTGCTCCAAAGAATAATGTCCAATTAGGGCAGAGATTGCAAACTGGTGACTCGGGGTCCTATCTAGCTCAAAATATGTTCTGTAAGGGCACTTCCCTGGTGGTCCAGCGGCTAAGACTCTGTGCTCCCAATGCAGCGGGCCCAGGTTTGATCCCTGGTCAGGGAAATAGATCCCACATGCCACAGCTAAAGATCCAGCATGCCACAATGAAGATCCCGCACTTTACAGTGAAGATCCTGTGTGCTGCAACTAAGACCTGGCACAGCCAAATAAATAAATATTTTTAAAATATATATATATATATATATGTATATATATATATGTTTTGTTAAATTTGCACAACATTAAAAAAATTTTTTTTTGAGGGCTTCCCTGGTGGCGCAGTGGTTGAGAGTCTGCCTGCCGATGCAGGGAACACGGGTTCGTGCCCCGGTCCGGGAAGATCCCACATGCCGCGGAGCAGCTGGGCCCGTGAGCCATGGCTGCTGAGCCTGCGCGTCCGGAGCCTGTGCTCCAAAACGGGAGAGGCCACAGCAGTGAGAGGCCCGCGTACTGCAAAAAAAAAAATTTTTTTTTGAGTTACTTGATATTACTTTACAAATCATGAGGCTTTCACATGCAATCTAGATTTCTGGCTTCTCTTCAAATATTGTAAAATTTCATAACAAGGCATCCCCGTTCCCATTCGGCATAGTCAACTGGAGCTGTGTACAGACCACCCCCCCCCCCATTCAGTAACACACCTCCTCTCTAGTTTCCATGTGCCCTGCTCCCTTCTGTAATCCACAGGACCTGCTTTCCAATTTATATTACCTGTCTGGCCCATAGACATTTGATTTGTGTGATCTCTATGTCTGCCCATTTGGATCTGCAGATTTTAGTATCTTTGTTGGACTGGTCGTCACCAGTCATTACACACTGATGTTCTCAAACTCTTTCCTGCATCCACATTTTGGTCAGTGTGTAAAATTGATTTTGTTGCAACTGAGCATATATGCCATCAATTCATTAAACTAAGTGGGTTGTGTGACTTGCTATTGAATCGGATATAATCTTCTACAAGGAAGAGGGAAGAGACAAAGTGTAGAATCCAGAAAGATCACATGATTAATGGAACACCAGAGAACTTTGCCCCATGAGTATATAAGGGCAGCAAAAAAATGTCTATTCAAGTAACAATACAACGAATTCAATAACTATGGGTGCTCTGGTGGTGAGATATTTTGAAATATATTAATGTGTTTTTTACTTCTGTACTTCTTTGGCTATGCCTTCCCCCCCAATTTAGTCTTCATTGCCTTAAGAAGGATTAGGATATTTTTTAGCAGGAATGCAAAGTCATTGTTTAATCTTGAAGCCCATTTCAGAAGCAAGAGTCTTGAAGCCAGGTGTACAGTCAGGGTCTAAATAGGAAAACAGAAATCGCTTTAAGAACTTACAGTATAGGAAAATTGACTTAGGTAACTGGGTTTACAGGAGATGGAGTAGGTGAGAAGCCAGAGACTGGATGGTGAAGTCACCCAGAGATGAGCCACATCAGCAAGACTGGAGGGGCAAAGGGAGGAGACTGTCGCTACAGGAAACTGGATCCACAGTGGAGTAAGGCAGCTCCTGCCAGAGGTACCGCAAAGGCAGAGAGAAATATTTAGAATTCTCCCTTCCCATCCCGGCCCCATCTCCTGCTAGTGTCATCCAGTGGCTGAGCCCAGCCAGAGTCAGTACCATGGGGACCTGCAGGCATCCGGAGCCCCCGGAGAGATGGACAGGGGCAGGACCAGAGAGCGCTAGAGGGCAAGCAGGTTCAGTGTCCACACACCAATTACAAAGGCCAGCCACTGGAGATAGAACAGGGTTTTGCTCTGTTTTGTTTTCATCTTCCTAAACGTTCTCTTTAAATCTCTAGACCCAAAGCCTGGAGGGCTAAGTTTAGAGTCTATAACATAAACCATAGGGTATAGAACATGAGGTCATGGCAATTTCCTGTCACACAAAAAGGCAATAAAAACCCTTCCTGGCTTGGGAGAAGGAGCTTGGAGGAAATACTGAGGAACACAGGATTCTCAAGCTCCATGAATGGGGACAGGCAGGGAAAAGGAGCCTCAGCTTGAAATTCCTAGAGCAAGGGGTGCTCATGCACTATTTTCTTTTCTTTTCTGTTTTTTTTTCCTT